TAATCTAATATTCCGCTTTATCCTCAAAGAACGGAAATTTAACAACGCTTTGACGATTCGAAAGTGACTTAAACTCCCTTGCGTTTTACCACTTAGGTATTTCGTAATGAAGATAAAAATGATACATTGCCAAATAAGTACTTTCGAAAAACCGATCTCCGAGTCTTCTCTGACGAGTGGGCGGAAACTGTCCGGAAGTTGTCGGAGCAGATTGACACGCCGTTAATACAATTTATATCAAGTAATATTTCTTTTAAAAAAACGCCATAAATAATGAGAGTATATGTCATTAACTGAAAGTCAAGTTAAATCCTCTAGGTATCACCAAATTGTTTCTCTTAAATGCTTTTTATCCTCTCATTTTTATGTTCTAATCATGTTTTTCACGGCACTGTTCGAAGACCTTCGAAACCAGTTTGCTAAAATTGGCAAGTTGTTTGTCATGATCAATTTACAAAGCTCATTAACCGTGTTAAGTACATTTAATTATCACTCGCAATGGGCGTCGCTTTCCATTAACTTTGCCCTTCATTGCGCTTAAGATGGGTCAAACGTTACAAAGACTACAACCGAATAACATCCTGTTTACGGCTGACAAATCAAGACGCCATTCTAAGTAAATTTAAATAATAATTTTATTAAATCGACTTCGAAGACAAACTTATTTCAGTTTTCGCCGTTGATAACTTACCTTTTTTCGAACACAGGAAAACCATTATAAGCTTAATCATTCCTTCCAGTGATAGCTGAACCAAAGCCCACTGAACAATATTTTTTGGGCTAATTTAACAGCTGGAAAAGTTTTAAACAACAAACCGAGTGTCACCATATCGTAGGCCGGGGCTCATTTGTTCCAAGATTGATTAGCGCTAACCCGAGATTAAATTTTAATCCCGGTTTCTTTTTCTTCTGTTCAAAGCCAGAAGTAAAATGGCATGGGGTTTGATTTTGTACCAGCGTTGAATGACTTAACGCGGGTTAAGGACGGAATAAGACAAAGAAAAGTTTAAGTTTGCTTTCCACCAAGCAAAATTCTTTTTTTATTTTCTTTTTTTAACCCCCTCCACCATCGTCATCACCACCAACCATGCATTGCCAACGTCAGTGCTGTTAGGGGAATTTCAGTAGTAGAAGGCAAAATATCACAGTTTGTTGTTAATCAAAATCTTCCTGCTCTTTTCCATGTTTCAGATAATCATTGGTAATTTTACTTCAGTCCATTTTCCTTGTTTTCCCACTGAATTAGCAAAAAGTGGCCTGATACATATTCCTAAAGTAAGGGCCATGCATAAAGACGGGCACTATGAAAACGAGCGTCATTGAAACATATTTTACGGGCATTAGTACGTAATAAACAGCTGGTTATTTATAACTGAAGTGTGATCCAATGCTACAAATAAGTGGTTTCGTATCCGGTTTGGTTGTAATTGTATGTTTTGCAAAGTTCCTCTTTAAGAAACCATTAATAAACATAGTTATTCTGTTTGACGTTTTGTATTTTATGCTTGGGTTGTTTGCCAAAGATGAAAGAAAAAAATATCTACAACTGCATAACAGCAGCAGACAAGATTTTTTGTGTATCACCGGCAAACTCAAGAGCGCACCAATATGTTGTGAAATGCAGCCCAGTTTTCACTTTTGTTTTGGAAGAATTATACAGTTGACTCTCAAAGCAGATGGCTTTGACAGGTTCGGGTCGTTTCACGACAACTGAATCCCCGTATTATAGTTTGTGTTATACAGCCATACTTTATCGAAAAATATTTATTCCTCTTAATTTATATATCCGGCAAATCTTAACTTATTTGAAACAGAATTAATCCTATTTATTTGAAACAATATTTGGTTTACTGCCCCTCTCAATTTCTCTTAATAGTCGGTCAGTAGTGCAAAAATGTCAATTAAGTTTATGCGTATTGTCATGGACTCTTCTGGCCTTGAATGGTTTCAGTCCTAGTTAAACTCGCTAATATAAAATGCATACACAACCCGGTATTTGAATAGCAAATAACTGATAATGTAAACATCTTTTTTAAAAATAGTCAATAAAACACTGAAACAAAATTTTTCCTTATTGTTGTTACTCTCAATCGATTACATCTTTTAATAAAATTAACTATTTTAAAAAGGAATTTTTCTAATAGATCAAAAGGAAACAATAAGATTGTGCATCATTGCACTCATAACTTTTTTATTAGCAGTTTTTGTATTATGATTCTTTCATCATCTTCTGGACGAAATAGCGAAAGTTTTTATTGAGGAAAGAGCTGACCTCTTTCAAACATAGAGTTTCGTTTCAGTCTTGCAACAGCTGAGGGGCGTGCCGGGGTGAAATCACTTTGGGTAACCTGTAAGGTTCTATAATTACAAGGGAAAGCACCCCAGAATCGGCTTGGTTATTTATTTTCTTCACCAACACCAAAGCTTGCAAACATTATCTTGTAACAGTCACGAAACAATGTCAAACAGAAACATGGATAAAACAGTTGCAAAATACTTCATTGTTGTGGTAAGTCATGCCAGATAATCTTTTTGCTTTAGTCAGATCCAACACGATGACAAAACCAATGCCAAACCTGAAAAAAGAGAAAAAAAAAATGATCATTAACTCTTTTGCAAGACGACGGTGACTCTTAGCCATGTAAGTTTTTTTAGTTTTTAAATACAACGATAGTTCATTCTTACATTTATCCTGAATATTGTATATGTGGTTGTGTATCAGCCGTAAAAACAAGGAGCTAGCCAGGACGACGCATTGCAAGACCACGATGTTTCTGTTGCTAATAATTTCTCAGTTTTGGCATGAAGAGAGCTTAGACCATACTATAAAATTGATAGTTTTTTCTCTGTATTTAAGCCAAAAAGATAGCTTATAAGTCTTACTTACTGAAAACAATTGATCAGTTTTAAGTCAGTATCCTTTGGAAACAGATATACGTATTGAAATTATTCTAAACTGACCTTTTAACATATCTTTGTGTGTTATGTTGTAATAAGTACTGCATGAACTAAACAATTTCTAAACAAACTGTTGAATTGAACAGAGTCTCAAGAAACCGTTTGATGCAATAATAAGAGTGAACAGCCGTTAACTAAGAACTGAGAAGATCTATTAGAAATCTTTTATTGAATCGATTGCCAAAAACTGTCATCTTTATGCATAATAACCGAATTCAGATATGTTTACACCTAGTGGAATAATCTGAGTGAAAGACGTCCATAGGTTGAAGAGAAGAATATATCTTTTTTAAAAATTATATTTGATTTTGTTTCTTTTCTCCTGCGTTGAAGCAGGACTTGTCACTCGAGAGTGGAGAACTCGATAACTGAACTGTTAATCGAGAATTTAGATTGACTGCGAAGCAGGCTACGCTTCGTATTACGCCAAAAAATGAGCGCTACATAGCCTTCAGTCCGGGGGGGAGCCCAATCAACATAGTTTTACGGCAATGAAAGCCCTTTCACATACCTAGTCTAGTACGTAGTATCCCTTTTAACTGCTGTAAATGCACATTCTCTAAAACATGAATAAAAATCGCAAAACATGAACTTTTTCACAGCCATATTAAAATGCATTTGTCCCTTTTGGACCTTTTTAGAGAGCGAAATGACTGATTTCCCGACCTTTCCACATACTCCAACAAGTGAAATCCGTACCTTACCATTTCATTTACTTGAAGCCTGCATGAAAAAGATCAAGCTAGATATCCCTTTCGGGCGGAGCCTACACGAAAAACCCCAAAGTCTACTTGTTATTTTTACTGATCAGGTCTTATTAGCTCCTACGTTCTGCGGCATATTCGTTTGCGGTCCTTTGCAGTCTTTTGTGGTTAGTGTTTGTACTTTGATTCGTGACGTGAATTTCTTGTAATGCAAATATTCTGGTCCGATTAGCACGTACTACCAGAGTCGGCTCGTAGTGCTGCTTACAAAATGTTGCTCGAGCAATACAAAGTGGCTACACTAGACTACAGCTACATAGTTCCAAATTTTCCCCGGGGATATAGTAGATTGGCAACCTCGTTCCCACGGTCTCCTCTACTACTCCTCTTTGAGATGATCCTGGAAACGCGCGTGCGCGTGAATATCTCTACCTCACGTGGAAAGTACTGGCCAAAGGTTTCAATAAGAGCTAGTGGACAGCGGTTAATCAAAAACTGAGATTATTTATTATAAATAGTTTATCGAATAGAACAATGACTTTCTCAATGCGTCGTGAAGAGTTCGGTCGTAGCTAAGATTATAAGGTTTGAACGACACCGAGCGAGCGCGTATATATCTTTAGATGTAAGCTTTATGGTGACGCTATGGAATCATGGTATACCCAGCCGACCGCGGAGTTGCTCTCTCTTCTTTATCTCACTTTGCTTGAAGGTGGGACAAATAAATGCTTGGGAATCATTTATTTTAGACGTTGACTGTGTGTTTATAAACGGCCTTTCTCTCACAAATTCATGGTTAAGTGCTTATCAGAGTTTAATAAAATAATGGACAAAATAATGGAAGGTGCCATGACCTAGCCTAAAAGAACAATAAAATTCCTTTAAGGCATAGACTAGTTCAAATAATTGGATTATAATTTTTAAGAGGTTTTAGCTAAAACGGTTTTAGCTAAAACCGTGGCCCCAAAGTTTTCTTACGCCTTCCGTAAAAAATTTCACAGCTGCGCCTATTCCTTTTCGTAAATCCGGCCAAACCTTCAATGTTTGCGACCATCATTATTTTTAGTCATATTATGGCTTAAATACAGGCGTTTAGTATTTGATTGTAAAACTCCCTGGAGAAGTCTACGTTAGTTGGACGAAACGCGTAAAAGAATAAACAAGTTTTACAGCAACAGTTCGCAGAGTACTGCTCACTAGTTTAGTTTTGAAAATTTTTAAAAACTTAAAAATTAAAAATAAAAAAAGGACTCTAATCACACGGTTGTGCCTTTACAAAATGAAGATAAAACTAATAAATCGACAATAATACATACTAGTTATTGTTTCCCTCCTTAGGTTGGATTGATCCTGCAGTTTCATTTGCCTGGAAGTAATAGTCTATCTTGCAAACCAGTCAAAACTGACAGTGTTTACACCATTAAGTCTTTTAAAACAGACAAATATCTCAAAGTTGAATGGAAGAATAACACGACCAAGTTGTCATTTACAGGAAACTCAAACGACTGTGGCATTTGTAAGTTATCAAACCAAATATATTATATTGTTTCCTCAAAAGAAAACCGGGTTCTTTCGCTAGAGAGGGTAGAAAAACTGTGGAGTACAAATACAAGACCAACGTTGGTGAATTTGGTTATAATTGAGGATGAAAGACATTCTTAAGCAGGTCATAGGGGTGCCGAGAGAATCAATGTATAGCACTTTAAAGATATAAAAGATAATGTTGTTTGGTTGTAGTTCTGCAAAACAACAATGTGACAATTACAATCATCTTCATAATCATCATCATTATCGGTATTATTATTTTATTATTGTTATTGTAGAAGGAGATTTGAAAACGTTACTGCTCAAATAGACCTCTTTCATCAAGAGGTTTTCCATTCTTGCCTTTATCTTGAAATTGGCTCCTTTTCAATCCAATGGCTGCATTTTTCGGTAGTCACTTTCTTAAAACGTCCGGCAAGAATTACTGAATAACTCACAGATATTTTACATATAACGTTTTGTTTTGTTTTGTTTCAGATTTTCTTCCTCGAAAAATTCCTAGCACAAACGAATACACAATTTCACTTGATAACAAGACAAACTATTATCTAGCTATAGAACACGGAAAGTTGGTTGTGAAGGTAGGCGTACCTCGCAAAGGGATAAAACAAATTAAGAGCGTTGGGTGATAGAGTTTTTCCGTCTACAATTCTTGTGATTTATAGAAAAGGTTTATTCAGTTAATCGTGAGTTCAATACCCATCTGAAACTCAGAAAATGCTTTCTGGGTTCTTCTCTCCACACGTCATTCTATTTATTATATGGATGATGAATTACGCAAACTTGTTTTTCAGGTTAACATGCAATACATTACACTACCCACAATTAAGATTTTAAAACATTTTCGTTATATAAACACCAGTGTAATGCAAGTTGAGCTTTCACTCGTCAATCTTGTTATTAGTTCACACTGAATGAGCAAGAGTAGCCGCACAGAGTGGGCGGCCTTCTAGTGACATCACATCCTTGTTTCAACTTCTCTTCTTTCTGTATAGCTTTGACTAGCTTTAGAAAACGGAGCATTGATGGAGCCCGAGAGGGGATAAAATGAGCGCAACGTCGTCCTCAAGTTTATCAGTTAATTACTTATTACTGTAACGAGTTATTGACGTAAAATGGTTGCTTTACCTTTCACCTTTTTCACAAGTAGAAAGATTACCGTTGCCGCCCCTTAAATATACAAAATTTCACTTCTAGTGTTGAGAAAAAATATTTCACGAGTGAGCGACCTTGTAAGTTTATCTATGCATGTTATCATCTATTAGCAGAAGATGAATCCGCCTTTGAAAGAATGTCGTTTCCAGTTGAGGAGAATCAGCTTGAATTACAGCCGGGGAGATAACAGACCTGTCTCAGAGGACTATCATGTTGTTGTTTCCATGTCAACTAACAATTCTGAGTATAACGCTATCACAAGTAACAGGTTCGGAAAAGTTTCTTTGGGATATTGGAAGGACTGTAGAGCATGGTTTAATATATCGCTTGCAATATAAGCAGTAAAAAATGATGAGTAAGAGATCTTAGTTCATGGCTAAGAGATTTATATGTAAACTTAACTTAAGAGGAAACCAGATACTGTTTTAGGGTTCAATTAACCGACTTCCGAAAAAATCAATATAAGTTTTAAAATTCCTTTTTTTTTCTCTGACTAACAATTTCGAAAAAAAACCTATCTTTTTCATTCCCAAGTTGCAATCCTTTTTCTTAGCTTCGATTGTGGTAAAAGAAAGCCGTAAATTGCTACACGTCAAAGTGTTCATTTTATTGCAGTAAAAGCCTCGCTTGATTTTTTTTTTCTGAATTGTCGTGACAATGACCCTCCTCCAATTCTTTTTTCTATCTGACCACTACTTATTGGCTCCTACGACTGGCTGGTTAAAAAAAACAATATTTAGTAAGGTACCGTAAAATTCCGAAAATAAGCCCCTCCATGAATAAGCCCCTCCAAATATAAGCCCCCCAAACGGGTCACACAAAAAACCCTCCGTTAAATCGCCCCTCTAAATATAAGCCCCCCAGGGGCTTGTACTTGGAAAATTGCCCTCAAATACAAAGTAAAGCAAAGGAAAAACAGTTAATTTAGTTCCAACTATAAGGCTAACCCAATCGATTTTGAAACGTAAATTTCCCTCCGTAGATAAGCCCCTCCAAATATAAGCCCCTCCAAAAATAAGCCCCTCAAAAAGGGCCTTTGAAAAATATAAGCCCCGGGGCTTATTTTCGGAATTTTACGGTAGCTTTTCATAGCACTCTGAACTGTTTAGATCAATTTTTCTGTGAAGTATTGTATTCGGAGAGTACGGTAGTCTGCTACACAGCCGTTATTAGTGTCGTCACGCAACGCTCCGTTAGTGGCGAGGAGCGTTGCGTGACGACACTAATAAAGGCTGTGTAGCAGACTAAGAGTACGGTAAATCAAACGAACCTGTAAAGTTTTTAAAGTTATACAAAAAGATGAAACCACGGTCCAAACTGCAAGTTTGGGCAAAGTGAGTTTCTTTTTATTTATGATGTAATAATATAGAAACAAATAGTATTTAAAAAAATACCATAAGTAAAGTATTTTAACAAAAAATACCCTTAATTTATAAATAAGACAATTTTGTAAGAAGTTGCAGATGTAGCGAGATTAAAAAATTAAACGATTCAAGTGTTTTGTTAGTATTTCAACCAATCCATTAAACGTAACTGATTTATAGCGGCGGTTCTGGTGGCCCATTTAGGAAGGTATATTGTTTCATTGGTAATTAAAGTACTAAATGTAGAAAAAATTGTATAAGGAAATGAAATGCAATCAAATATTTTTTTAGTCTATGGGACTGCAAAACCCAGAGACGTGGGGAAGGAGGGGGGGGGCGCATTTTTCTTAAGGGTGCGTTCGATTGGGAAATCTGGATTTCGATTTTAAAATCCGGATTTCGGATTTGCAATCGAACGCGAAATCCGAAAACGGATTTCAACGCTGAGATATCTGTTTTTGGATTGTCATTTTTACCGTTCGATTGGGAAATCCGAAAAAGGATTTGAAAAACTGTCCTTAAGAACAGCGGTTTTGCACGCGCACGAATAATTAGGAAAAAGAAGACCGCTGTTCACGAGAACAGTTTGCAAATCCGTTTTCGGATTTTTCAATCGAACGGTAAAAAGGAAATCCAAAAAATCCGGAATTGGATTTCTTAATTGAAATCCACCCTGAGGACGGATTTCTCGGAGGTGAAATCCGAAAAATCCAAATCCGGCTCTGTTAATCGAACGCACCCTTACTGTACTTGATATAACTCCTGAAAAGTCCGGGTGTGATGATTGAAACAATAAGAATGCTAATACGCCTTATGAACATTTTTGATAAATACCAGTGAACATGAAAGTTTATATAAAAAATTTGGAAATCCAAATTTGCAAATCGAATAAGAAGACAGATTTCAACTGGAGCCAAGAAATGCACCGCCTAATACAAACAAAAAAACTCTGACGAGTGTCATAACGAGAAAACACCAAAAACACTGAATCCATTTCAAGCTACACTGAACTGGCATAGTTTAAAATACAAAGCAAAGAATAAGTTACAAACAACTCTTACCAGTTTACAATCCTTTAAATCAAATTATCAATGTCCATTAGTCGTGTTGCAGATTTGCTGACAATCTTCTCGAGCAATTTCTTTCGCTTTGTTGGGTTACTAATTGTCAAAACTTTCTTTTGATAGAGGTATCATGAAGGCTTGGTAGACGCTTGAAGTGCGCACCAGTTCAGTTTCACTAATATTTGCATAAGAATACTTGACCAACCTTTGTTGCTTGGCTGCTTTTGCATAAAAATTTTAGTCAACACGTTTTACACCTTTTTCTGCAATACGCCTAAAAGATAAAAAAAAGAAATACCCTAGGGAGCCGTTTTGAAGCTGTTCAATACATTCACGGCATGTTTTTTAATCGAGTCTAAAAATTCTCGAGCATTGCGCTCGAATTTTCAACTTAGACAAAACGCTGCTGTTTGTTTTTAAATATCTACTCACAACTCGCTGACTATAAAAATACGGCTCATCTTCTGCGTCTTTTTTTGTTGCATGTTACTGAGGTGTTTTACCAATTTTAACGTAAAAATTAGAAACATAATTTCTGCATTTTTCTGTAAAACGAGTATAATCAGTGTATCCCCATAATCAGCGTATCCCCATAACACTTTTGATTGTATGCGCATGCGCACCCCTCCACCACAAATACTTTTAAATGTATTTTCCATATATGCATAGGGGTTGCACTTGAAACTGAGTCAGGGTTGTGTCTACTGCACTAATAAGAAGGTTTGGGGACTACACGAGTAAACTGCCGCTTATCCCGGAGAAACAGCTGAGATAAAATATACTGCGAAGGTGTCATTACCATGTACGGGCAAAGATGGCGTCTTGCCCGCACCCGTAAATTGGAAACAGTGTATCTTAAGGTCCGAGCTGGTCAAAATTGCTCAGTCCCAAGTTCTAAGGTGACGAGTGTCACCATATCGTAGGCCGGGGCTCACTTGTTTCAAGATTGATTAGCGCTAACCCGAGATTAAATTTTAATTCCGGTTTCTTTTTCTTCTGTTCAAAGCCAGAAGTAAAATGGCCTGTGGTTTGATTTTGTACCAGTGTTGAATGACGTCTGCAACGCAGGTTAAGGACGGAATAAGACAAAGAAAAGTTTTAATTTTTCTTCCACCAAGCAAAATTCTTTTTTCATTTTCTTTTTTTAACCCCCTCCACTATCGTCATCACCACCGACGTCAGTGCTGTTAGGGGAATTTTAGTAGTAGAAGGCAAAATATCACAGTTTGTTGTTACAGCGGTTACCACTAACACGCGCCCTCAAAGGGTTTTTTCTTTGATTCAAACCTGCGTTTTGGTGGACGTCAATCAACCGTTACCATGTAATCAAATTCTTCCTGTTCTTTTCCACGTTTGACAATCATTCGTAATTTTACTTCAGTCCATTTTCCTTGTTTTCCAATTAGCAAAAAGTGGCCTGATACATATTCCTAAAGTAAGGGCCATGCATAAAGACGAGCACTAGGAAAATGAGCGTCACTAAAACATATTTTACGGGCGTTAGTACGTTATAAACAGCTGGTTATTTATAATTGAAGTGTGATGCAATGCTACAAATAAATGGTTTCGTATCCGGTTTGGTCGTAGTTGCAGCCCCACTTTATCCAAAAATATTTATTCCTCTTAATTCATATATCCGGCAAATCTTAAGTTATTTGAAACAGAATGAATCCTATTTATTTGAAACAATATTTGGTTTACTGCCCCTATCAATTTCTCTTAGTCGTCGGTCAGTAGTGCAAAAATGTCAATTAAGTTTATGCTTATTGCCATAGACTCTTCTGGCCTTGAATGGTTTCAGTCATAGTTAAACTCGCTAATATAAAATGCATACACAACCCGCATTTCAATAGCAAATAACTGATAATGTAAACATCTTTGTCTAAAAAAAGCCAATAAAACACTGAAACAAGATTTTTCCTTATTGTTGATACTCTCAATCGATTATATCTTTCAATAAAAATAAATTACTTTAAAAAGGAATTTTTCTAATAGATTTTCCATCATTGCACTCATAACGTTTTTTATTAGCTGACCTCTTTCAAACAAAGTTTCGTTTCAGTCTTGCAACAGGGAAAGCACCTCAGTACCTCATAAAATTCTTCACCAACTCCAAAGCTTGCAAACATTATCTTGCAACAGTCACGACACGATGTCGAAGAGAAATATGGATAAAACACTTACAAAATATTTCATAGTTGTGGTAAGTCATGCCAAATAATCTTTTTGCTTCAGTCAGATACAACACGATGACAAAACCAATGCCAAAACTGAAAAAAAGAGAGAGAAAAAAATGATCATTAAGCTCCTTTACACGACGACGGTGACTCTTAGCCATGTAAGTTTTTTTAGTTTTTAAAAATAACGATAGTTCATTCTTACATTTGTCCTGAATATTGTATATGTGGTTGTGTACCAGCCGTAAAAACAAGGAGCTAGCCAGGACAAGGTATTGCGAGATCACGATGTTTCTGTTGCTAATAATTTCTCAGTTTTGGCATGAAGAGAGCTTAAACCATACTATAAAATTGATAAAGTTTGTTCTCTGTATTTAAGCCAAAGATAGCTTATAAGTCTTACTTGTTGAAAACAATTGATCAGTTTTAAGTCAGTATCCTTTGGAAACAGATATACGTTTTGAAATTATTCTTAACTGACCTTTTAACTTATCTTTGTGTGCGGTTATGTTGTAATAAGTTACTACATGAACTAAACAATTTCTAAAGAAACTGTTGAACAGAGTCTAAAGACAAGAGCTTATTGTTTATGTAACCTTAAATATAATTCAACTAATCAAAGTCAGAATCTAATACTTTTAATCGTTTGTACCTCTTTGGAGAAGATTCTACTTTTGCTTCTTGTAGCGCTAACTTAAGGGATTGATCAAAGCTGTTTATTGAATTGCTGAATTGTCCTCCGTGAATCACACTGCCCGTGAAAAGTGACATCGCTTGTTGACTTCGCTGATCGTCGCTTAACTCCTGCTGTTGTGGAATTTTCAGCATGTTGAGTTGAACTCGTTTTGTTTGTATTCCCTGTCCCTGTTGATAGATCACTTAATCTTCGTTGTCGTCTTTCTTGATTTTGCATCATTGCACTCGTAACTTTTTTATTTGCGGCTTTTCTATTCTGTTTCTTTCATCTAACTTCTGGATGAAGTAGCGGAAAATTTTCGTCACGAAATGATCTCACCTCTCTCAGACATAAAGTTTCGATTCTGTCTTGAAACAAGGGGCGCGCCGGGGCAACCTTCAAGGGAAAACACCTCATAATGTCATCTTGACTTTTAAAGAATTCTGTACCTTTAATTTCTTCACCGCTTTCAAAGCTTGCAAACATTGTCTTGTCAACAGTCGCTGAAACGACATCGAAGAGAAACATGGATAAAACACTAGCAAAATACTTTGTTGTGGTGGTAAGTTATGCCAGAAAATATTTTTGTTTTAGTCAGATCCAACACGAAGACAAAACCAATGCAAAAACAAAAAAAGAGAGAGAGAAAAATGATCATTAACTCTTTTACAAGACGTCGGTGATTCGTTAGCCATGTGAGTTTATTTAGTTTTAAAATATAACGATAGTTTATTCTTACATTTGCCCTGAATATTGTATGTGGTTGTGTAACAACCATAAAAACAAGGAGCTAGGACAACTTTTTACAAGAGCACGTTGTTTCTGTTGCTAATAATTTCTCAGTTTTGGCATGAAGAGAGCCTAAACCTTACTATAAAATGATAAAGCCTTACTATAAATTTGATAAAATTAAAATTTACAAATTGATCAGTTTTAGGTTAGTATCCTTTGGAAAGAGATATACGTATTGAAATTATTCTTAACTGACCTTTTAATTTATCTTTGTGTGCGGTTATGTTGTAATAAGTTACTACATGAACTAAACAATTTCTAAAGAAACTGTTAAACAGAGTCTCAAGAAACCGTTTGTTTTGCAACAATAAGAGTGGACAGCGGTTAACCAAGAACTGAGAACATCTATAAGAAATCTTTCATTGAATCGATTGCCAAAAACTGTCATCATGCATAATAACGGAATTCAGATATTTTTACATCCAGTGAAATAATCAGAGTGAAAGACGTCCATAGGTTGAAGAGAAGAATATATCTTTTTTAAAAATTATATTTGATTTTGTTTCTTTTCGCATGCGTTGAAGCAGGACTTGTCACTCGAGACTGGAGAACTCGATAACTGAACTGTTAATCGAAAATTTAGATTGACTGCGAAGCAGGCTACGTTTCGTATTACGTCAAAAAATAAGCAAATAATATTCAGCCCTTTCTAAGATTCAACATTTCATTAGTTGAGTCTCAATAGGCTGTAGTAAACAACGCATTAGTTCCATTTTTTACACGTACAATTCAGTTGATATCGTGATTAATGACGATCCAGCTCTTCCGCTTTGTTTGAACTGGAGCACTGAATAGAGTTACTGCGGAAAGTCGAACCAAGAAATCATAATCTTATTAGACTTTCGTTAAGATTAAGGCTTAAAAATGGACTCGTTACCTGTTTCGGAATTATACTTTTGAAATTTGAAGAGAAAAGAAAACTTGTAAATGTAATTGTTTTTAGTTATGTTTGTTGACTAATTGATCAGGCGCCCTTCTGAAGCCTTAGCATGGTCGGCGGCAGACAGGTAAAGTATTTAAGCAACGATCCACAACTGAATTTTAGCGACAGCATGAATGTACGTAATGAAGTACTCTTTCTGAAGCACTTACGAAAATTTGTCGATCATCGGTCTAATGATCATGAGATTCAACAAATAACAAGTTTCGAAGACAAAAGACAAACCTCGGAAGAAAATAATGTATACTATACTCACTTTCTACTTACTCATGCCAATAATCAATAACCCTAGTAAAGTTTCTCATCTTGAAGAATTAATGGTTATGATTGTCGTTTTTCCCTTTATTGTAACTGTATTAGAAGGTAATTAGTTTATATCATCTTATATCTTGTTAAACCATACATTTGTCTAGTTCTATTTTTTCGCTTGTTGTAGTCGTATATTACTGATTAGGCATTGTTTTTATATGTGTATTTTGTATTGTTGTGAAGGCCGTAAGTTAGATGACTCATTGGGTTATTACGTCACCTTCGTTAAATAAAGAATATTGTAACATGTTCCTTGATCTATTCCAAACCATCGTTGTATTGTATTGTACCCTCAATAATAGGCTCCTACTTGGCAATTTAAGAAATACTCTTGATTACCTCAGGCGCTCCCCGTGACGTCACGGTAGCGATATTAATGTCCCAAACCAACCCTGTGGGAGTTGATCTCTTTCCTCTTAAGTGAACACTTTTTTTTGTTCCAATAAATTTTCATAGATGCAGATCGAGTGGGTCGAAACGCTCTATATTTAGTGGCATGCTATACATAATATCTGTCTTTGGTTTACGCATCAGTGTAACTATAATACGTCTTTTCAAACGCCACCTTTAACTATTTGTGTAAGAAACTGTATGGCTAAGTTTTAAGTAAAACAAAACTGAATGCAGGGCTACATAGTGTTCAGTCCGGGGGGAGCCCCCTCAACATAGTTTTACGACAGTGAAACCCCTTTCACATACCTAGTTGTTTAGTACTTAGCATCCCTTTTAATTGCTGTAAATTCACTGTCTTTAAGGTGTTTCGTTACAGTTTTTCAGAGGCCATACCGATATTTTTCAATCGCCTTAAAAGTGGTTTTTTCCTTGTCAGATCGCTATAAAATTTTTACCAGTAATTGGCTATGGATTGAGATTTGTGAAAATGTAGTTTTAAATAAAATCGATATTACTATGACAACAATAAACAAAAAACTTTGAAATTGATAAAAGCCGAATTTTGTGTGATCAAGACCTGCTACTGAAAATCCAACACTAGGAACTTAAAGTTTGGTGTTTAGCAAACAATNTTATAAATGACTCAAATTATTCTTAAGTAGCGTAAGAATGATGCTTAATATCATATTTTGATGCTAGGAAATTTTGGTGTACTTTCGTTCATGCGATCTTGAAATCTAACCCGTTTTCTCACCACCTGTATAAGTGCAACTTCATTCAGAATTTGGACTTTTAGCGCTTTCTTGTATATCTCCAAAACGACTCGAACGAATTTTTTTAAAAATCTCTTCACATAATCTTCATAATGTATATAAAAATGTCTGTAACTTTCATTAAGATTGATTCACTGCAACACCTTGAAATTTCAAGAGAAACAGGAGAGTAAAAAATTTCACAGCTGCGCCTATTGCTTTTCGTTAATCCGGCCAAACCTTCAATGTTTGCGACCATCATTATTTTTAGTCATATATGGCTTAAATACAGGCGTTTAGTATTTGATTGTAAAACTCCCTGAAGAAGTCTACGTTAGTTAGACGAAGCGCGTAGGAGAATAAACAAGTTTTACAGCAACAGTTGTTCGCAGAGTGCTGCTCACTAGTTTAGTTTTTAAAATTTTTCATAATTTAAAAATTAAAAATAATAAAAAAAGGCTTTAAAAATAATAATAAAAAAAGCCTTAAAATAATAATAATAATAATAATAATAATAATAAAGGCCTTTAATCACACGGTTGTGTCTTTACAAAATGAAGATAAAACCAATAAATCGACAATAATACATATTTATTGTTTCCCTTCTTAGGTTGGATTGATCCTGCAGTTTCATTTGCCTGGAAGTAATAGTCTATCTTGCAAACCAGTCAATACTGACGGTGTTTATACCATTAAGTCTTTTAAAACGGACAAATATCTCAAGGTTGAATGGAAGAATAACACGACCAAGTTGTCATTTACAGGAAATTCAAACGACTGTGGCATTTGTAAGTTATCAAACGAAATATATTATATTGTTTCCTTAAAAGAAAACCGGGTTCTTCCGGAAGACCAACGTTGGTGAATTTGGCTATAATTGAGGATGAAAGACATTCTTAAGCAGATCATAGGTGTGCCGAGAGAATCAATGTAAGCTAATCCAGAAATCAGTATTTTAGGGTTGGCGAGGATACTTTAAGGATATAAAAGATTATGTTCTTTGGTTGTACTTCTGCAAAACAACAATGTAACAATTACAATCATCATCATCATCATCATCATCATCATCATCATTATCAGTATTATTATTTTATCATTGTAATTGTAGAAGGAGATTTGAAAACGTTACTGCTAAAATAGACTTCTTTCGTCAAGAGGTTTTCCATTCTTGCCTTTATCTTGAAATTGACCCCTTTTCAATCCAATGACTGCATTTTTCGGTAGTCACTTTCTTAAAATGTCCGGCAAGAATTACTGAATAACTCACAGATATTTTACATATAACGTTTTGTTTTGTTTCAGATTTTCTTCGTGAAAAAATTCAAAACACATTTGAATACGCATTTTCACTTGATAACAAGGCAAACCATTATCTAGCTATAGAACACGGAAAGATAGTTGTGAAGGTAGGTGTACCTCTCAAAGGGAGAAAACAAATGACAAGCGTTGGGTGATAGAGTTTTTCCGTCTACAATTCTTGTGATTTATAGAAAAGGTTTATTCAGTTAATCGTGGGTTCAATACCCATCTGAAACTCAGAAAATGCTTTCTGGGTTCTCCCCACGTTATTCTATTTATTATATGGGTGATGAATTACGCAAACTTGTTTTTCAGGTTAACATGCAATACATCACACTACCCACAGTTAAAATTAAAAAAAAAAATTTCATTATATAGACACCAGTGTAATG